GGCAGTGGGGCTCAGGCGGCTTTTGGCAGAAAGATTTATAGTAACACTCATCTCATTGGTGGGCCAACAAGGTGAGTGGGATCTGTGTGGGGATGACTTCTTAGCTGATGTGGGTGTCTGTGCAAGGGCGGGGACAATGGAGAACTTGCTCTTGAGCAATGAGGCCCATTGTCTCTTAGAACTCTGCCTGGTGTCACACAGCTGAATGTCTGTATAGTAAATTATAAGAGCCCAATGGCCAGGGTCTTCTTTCTATGCTCTGACATAAAGACTGCCCTTCCGAGACACAGACAGAAGAGACCACACCCTTTTCAGGGTAGCAGAGGTGTCCTCTGAGACAGTGTGGACAGAAAGTGACAGAAGGGACAGGTCAAGGCATCTTGATTTAGGTTATGGACGCTTGCAAAAGATGGGCGCACAGCGTCTGGGTTTGTCTTATTTACTTCCCTGTTGGGATGGGCTTCCAGCTAGATCAATCTGAGGCCAGTAACTGGCTTGAGGTATTATTCTTAAGTTCCCTACACAGTGGCTGAGATGGGGAGTATCACCTTAAAAGGTGGCGTGGACTGAACCGTGTGTGGTTCCTTCCCCATGCAAACACATAGTCATAGCGCGATCACTAGAACCTGTGAATGAGACCTTTTTTGGGAAGCATCTTTGCAGGTGGACTTCAGTAAGAGTTTTCAACTCGAGTTCTTCCCAGATTACTCAGTGGGGCAATGGCCTGAGGTAACAGGAAGTCAGGCTCCATGGTGCAAGACTGCAATTTTAGCTGAGGCAGGAAGGTCACAGGGCCTGGGACAGCCTGAGCTACATTGACCCTGTGCAAAAATAAAAGATAGCATCAGAGAGAGGCCCAGAGTCGAGTTGGATAGCCAAGAGGCCTGGAGCCTCTGGAGTCTGGGTGAGGTGAGCAAGGTTTCGCCCTGGAGTTTGGAGAGAGCGCGGCCCAGCAGGTACCACCATTGCATGCTTTTGTCTTCCAGAACTGTGTGAGAATAACTTCCCATGGCTCTAAGCCTCCAAAGCTGTGGGGAGATGTTTTGGTGGCCCTGGAAACTAACAAAGGGTTCCCACACCATTGAGAGGACCTACTGGAAACTGTCAAGTCCAAAGGAAACTCCAATTCCCCAAACTCCACAAGGAAGTCCAAACTTCCAGAATGAGCTCGAACTGGACTATAGGAGGATTTCTGATGGTCACTAAAAGCCAGCATTCCTCTGGACATTGCGAAGCTAGTTCCTATCTACCAAAAGGGGTCATTTCCTTTAGCTCCAGCAAAAGGGACTTACGACTCTCCAGTTAAGATAAACCCGTGGCATTTATGGAATATCAAGGTCCACGCTAGCCTCCAGGTGCCCTCAGTCACTGCTCACATGTATTTGTTACACATTTATAAGGTCCCTCAGCAGTCTCCTGGCCCTTCCCTCCCCCAAGCTACTCATCCTTCTTAGGGCCCAGCTATTCTCACTGTGCGCAGCCGCCATTCTTGCTAATTTCACTATGCCGGCTCCAGTCTCGATTGCCTGATACTCTCTCTTCATCCGTGTTCAGTCTGCTTCCTCCTCTGCTCTGGATTCTCCTCAATGCCCCTGCTGGACTCCTCACTTCTACAGTAAAACCTTCAAGTACCATGGAGGGGTCATGTTGTCAGTTTATATCAGCCTGAACAAGCCACCAACCTTTCTGGACCTTAGTTCCTTACCTACAAAAAACAGCTCAATCAAGAAAAGTAGTTAGCCGGGCGTTGGTGGTGCACACCTTTGATCCCAGCACTGGGGAGGCAGAGGCAGGC